TCTAGAGGATACTAGCTCAACGGTATGCGTTAATTTCTTTAATGAGGAAAGCAAATTGATTGCTTGGTTTACCACCCCCCTATAAGCACATGTTATTTATTGGACTGTCAGCAGGGGACTCCCACATGAGTGCGTGATTTTGATATTTTTCTCATTTGCAAGAAATTCCATGGTTGGCATATGTTGAACATCGTGACATTAAACAGAACGTCATGATAGGTTGTTTTATCTACATTTTTGTGTATTGAAATTTGAGGAAATGTGAAGAACAGGACAGAAAGTTAATATAAGTGTTGAAGACGGCAATAAGTTGTCATTCTGAGTTTACTATCTCACTCTGCTGCTAGAGTCATAATCAGGGAATGGTTATTTATTATGCGAGATGAATATAGATTGTTTTTGACATGATGAGGAAATTGGGAGCTATCCCGAAAGTGAGGATCATCTGAGGTCACTGCAGCAGTTTTATCTACTGTTTTGCTTGATTTGGCTTAGTTTTGCTGGTCAGAAATGACGAGCAACATGGGGCATGGAAACATTTTTACTTTTCTATGACAAAAAAAAAACTTGTCTAATTATTTAGGAACTTCATGTAAAAAGAACATTTGTAGTTTTGATGTCCTTACTAATTGTCAGTACTTGTTTCTTATTATACCATTTTCTTATTTAATAAATCTTATATAAATAATTTTCTAATGGCCCAATTGATTGTCCTATTTGCTTGCTTAGTAGAACAAATAATGGAAGTTAAAAATTGTTTGATGGTCTCATCTGCTTCCAATATGGTGATGATTTTTTCTTGGCAATTTCTTCATCATATTTGATGTGTGTCCTGTGGAACGATTTTGCTTGTAAAGAATAAGATATCCCAATTTGTAGTTTGAGTTGCTCTCTATTAGTTCATCAAGCTAAACCATCAATAATCTTAGCAGGTTACTCATATGGATCATTTTGTTTCTACTCCTGGAGAAGCCGTGACTGTTGTCAAAAAAATGCTAGCCAAGGGCTATATTTTGGGCAAAGATGCCCTTTTCAAGGCCAAAGAACTTGACGAGTCCTATCAGGTCTCAGCTACTGCAGCAGCCAAGGTTTCTGAGCTTAGCAATAAAATTGGCCTAACTGACAAGATCAACACCAGTATGGAAACGATAAAATCAGTGGATGAGAAGTATCATGTTTCAGACATCACTAAATCTGTAGCATCAGTCACTGGAACTGCAGCTGTAACAGCGGCATCTTTTACAGGGAGAACTGCTGTAGCAGCTGCCAATGCTGTAGTCAATAGCAGCTACTTTGCCAAAGGAGCACTTTGGGTTTCTGGCATGTTGAGCCGTGCAGCTCAAGCCACAGCTGATTTGGGTAGCCATGGAAATAAGGAAACAGAAACTTAAGTTTCACATTCAACCCTATTTAGTTGTTTTCCCCATCCTTTGTGTTTGCATAAAAATAAATGGTCTTCCGTTTCATATCGGTCTAGTATACACAACCGTATAAAGACTTAAAGTTTAGTCATGCCCTGATTTCGGCAGGTTAGATGGGTGTAAATGTAGGATTGATAAATGACATGTTTGTGTGTTTGTTTGTTTAATTTGATGCATAACTTCATGCTTTAACTCTAAAATGTCTGAAGAGGAAAGGAAATATCACATATCCACCACTTGCCTGGAATATGGATTCCTATGTCTGATTTTGAAGGTGACCTCATTTTGTAATGTAGGGATATTAGAGTCTTCAGTTTAGTGATGAAATTGACTCATTTTCCCTTTCAGCTCCTTCTGCTCCGCTCAATGCGTGATTATGATCCCATATAACACCTTCATCAAACCCTGATGATCCTTCAAAAATTGTGTGTGAATAGAAAGCATAGTATACTCTACTAGGACCGTGATGCACAAAAGGACTCGTTTAAGCCAACAAGTTCAGACTTATTTTAGCAATTGGCTGGTCCTGAAAGCCAAGATGGTTACACTAATGACTACCCTTTAGCAAAGGTTAGCATCCAAAAGAGAATTCATACCCTTTTATCATTCCATTTGTGATTCAAAGGCATGAAAAGAAAAATGATGCGGCAGTCAAATTAAATTTACGGGCAACTACTTCAATTCATCAACTTAAAGTCTCTTAATCACTAATGAGTGACTTTACCTAGCCAGTTTCTAAGCCTGGCTCATTCAATGTTAGCAGCATTACCATTGCATTGTTTCTGATCCATAATATGTTAAGTTTAAACTTCAAATTTCTTCCCTTTACTTCTCAAACGCATTTCACTGCATCGAAATAGAAATCTCACTTTGGGGTTTTGTTAAGTCCCAAAGAACACAGCTGGACAAAGATAAACTAGATTAAAGTTGTAATTTTAGATAAAAGTTTACTCAAAAAAGCAAAACCCCAGAAAGCGGGTTGCAAAATTCCCAGTTTTCCCAAAAATTATTGCGTTCTGTCAATACCCTTTAATTAACCGCTTCTCTTTTCCTTTGCCCATTTACCCGTTTTAGAGTTGCAGCGAGGACGAGAGAAAAAAACAGAGTCGCAACAAATCTAAGGCAGGCTCGTTCTCTTATCTTT